GAGGCAAATGTGTTCAGCCTCTCATGCTCAAAGCAGAAAAAGTTACAGGGGACCTGAGTCTGAGGTGCAAGAGCCCAAGGTGATACCCAGCTTCAAGGAACGCCATCGCCCCAGTGAAGTCGCCAGGATACCTGTTTATGAACACTTGCACAGAATAGAAGCAACTGCTGCGCTGTGGCTGGAAAGCTGAGGTGTGGTCAAAGATCTTCTAGATAGGTCACCACCTGAGTGCCAATTCGGAGGCATTGGGTCAATTCAGCAAAGCTTTTGCAGCATGAGAGACCACAAGTTTTGGTTCCTGGGGGTAGAGCCATGATCTAAAAAATTCTAGGGTTTGTGAGACCTAATGGATCCGCTTTGGCTGGAACTATGCTGTGGCTCAAGAGCAACATCTCCCGAGTGGCAGTGCATCGCAATGCTTTGTAAGCAGGGCACTCATCCTTTTGTGCAATGATCGAGTTGAACGCATCGACATGGAAGAACCAGATCTAAAATTATCTAAATCTGTGTAAGACCCTGCCGTTTGCAGGGAGGGCTCATAGACCGGCTTCCGATGATGCTATGAAGCGCCGGAAAGTGGCCAAAGAGCTGCAGGAGTGGGAGATTCTGAGAACAACGACCATCAGAGGCTCTTCTTTAGGAGCAAGGACACTACTAGGCTACTAGGGGCTCCTGGCCTTACTACCAGGAACAAGGACGCTACGAACGGAGCATTTCGGGCATCGCTACTCGTTGCGTCCACGGACGCGTCCCTCTCCTTTTCCACACGTCGTCCGCGTCGCCCCTTTGGGGCGGCCGTTTGCTGCCGATGATGCTCGACGCTGAGCTGGTGCAGGAGACGGTGCAGACGGTGCAGAGGGCCGAGGGCGAGGGCGCTGAGGTGCTGCTGTTGGTTCTCATTTCGTGCCACCCAGGAAACAAACGACAGGTTGATCTATTACAATGTGTTGCCTTTGGTGAATGTATGACTCTGTATGACAGATGGTTGTACCGCTTGGACTTGGTTTCTGAGTTTTATTGAACCAGCATAGCACAGAGTTTGCTCTGAGGCGTGTGAGCCGCCCTCAGGCAGGGAGAGAATGGACAGGATTTCTCTGTGGGTTTGGCTCGAAACCAGAGATGCCCGATCACTTGGCCTTTGACAGTTCTCGTTTCATTTGTCCAACATGCAGATCGCCATCAAAAGCAGGTTGCACGAAAGTCAGACTTCAGACCTTGACCTTGGAGCCTTGCTCATGCTAAAGTCAACGGAACTCTGGCATGTACTGCTGTCAAGAGGTCGAGCGAAGAAGAAGGCGAAACCGACAAAAGCGAAGCGCGCAGGGAAGGCGTGTCTTTTCAGAAGCTTTGTCCATCAGTCACAAGCTTTTGGCCTTTTCTGAGCACCTTCTTTTTTTGTCTTTTTCATGGCTTTTCAATGGCTTGGTGGGCGCCAATGGCTTGGTGGGCGCCAATGGTGATTCCCAAGGTGAAGACCACGCCACCGAAGTCGACCAAGGACGCTGCGGAGGCGCTTACTTGGCTCACCGTGTCGGAAGCGGCCGTGAGCACAACGATGGTGCAGAGGCCTTCTGGCCAGAGGTGATCCAAGTGCTGGATGACTTGGCCGATCCCAACGCCAGAGGAGAAGCCGTTCACGCAGAGGGAAGGGCCAGAGATACGTACGTAAGTTCATTTGATCGTATGTAGAACAAATAAAGAGTTGAACCTTGAGTTCGCAGCTGTACTTTCAGCGGATGCAGTACTTTGTGGCATGGGTCACAGACATGTCACAGACTGCTGTGATGGACACACTCATGCAGACTCTGCCCGCGTGCAAGGAACGCTGTCAGATCGTTTGAACCCATCACACCCGCGCTTTGACAAAAAGCTGAAAGCAAGTTGGAAAGGCTTTTCCAAGAAGGAGCACTTGTTCAACACGCCAAATAACGAGATGTGTAAAGCGAAATAAAGAGAAACGAGGCTGCTTTTTGAACACCACTTTGTCAGTTCAAGCCAGTTCAATGAAATAGACTGTTGCAGGAGAGAGCCGCTATTGTTGACTGTGACCAAAAGAAGATGAAGGTGCCTACCGTTTCTCTCATTCCTCAGTTCCTTGATGGTCTCAAGTCCCAACCTTGATACTCACAAAGATCAGCAAGAACAGCGAGCTTTACTCACAGGGTCTTGCCCAAGCCAGTTCATCTCCCAGTTTCCTACAGGGTGTTGCTGTTTGCTTGAGGCAACAGTCAGTGCGACTGTATCCATTGAGCACCCCTTTGATGTGAATGACGATGACCACTGCGAGACGTCATTGGAAGCTTATCGTGATGTGGTGCCCATTTTGCACCATTTTGCTGCCTGGTCTGATGGAGTGCGACTCAGACGGTGAACCATTTTGCATCCCCTGTCTTCGAGTGAAGATCACTGGCGAACCGCGCAGATGTGGGTTATGGAACCTCACCCCTGGGAGACATGGGCTGTGCTTCAGGGTGAGTTTCACCAATGTAGCTCACGTAAGGATGACACCAACACAGCAGGAAAACAGATGCTTGAATATAGGAACAACTTATATAGATTGATTTGATATGGCCAAATATGGCTAACATCATGGTGAAGGAGCACGTTTCGGGGAGCTGCAAGCTTGCTGGTCATGCTCTTCTCCCACTCCTTGGCCCAGACAACAGCAGCTCTTCTCCGGCTCCGCGGTCTCTGCGCGTCTGCACGCGCGGTGTCGCCATGGCGGGCAGCTACGAGAAGGTGGCCGAGGCGGCCATGGCCGAGCTGGACGGCCATATGTGTTGGCCAGTGGAATGGTTTAAAGAGGACCTGCCAGACACCCAGCTTTCAGCTGGAAGAAGGCAAACCAGACAGAAAGCAGTCTGAACATATCAAAAAGTGTTTTTGATGATCTTCAAGTGTTCTTTCACGCGTGTTCGCTTCATCGTTCTGTCTGCGCTGCTGAATTGATCCTGGGGCTTGGTTGCCCAAGGCCGCTGGAATCCAAAGATGGCTCTGCGATGGACATGCTCGTGGCCACCCTAGTCACAGAAGGTGAAACAGCTTCTGTGTACAATGTTGTATGCTATCAGTGCCCCTGTTGCTCAGATTGAGAAGACGATCAACCGGTCATATCACGTGCCCAAGATGATGGACCCTTACGTCAAAGCACAGTCGCAGGACAGGATGAGGCAGTCAAACAGCCAACTGACAGCCTTGTAAATGACTCATGTCTCAGCTACTGCTTTAACTTTCTTTAGGCAGAAGCTTTCCAAGGGTGGACTGAGAGCCTTAACATACAAGGACAGACTCCACAACCTCCGACCCACGAATTTGCAGCAAATCTGTCTTTGTGGACAGAGCAGCTCCAAGAAACAAGCTTTTGCACATGACCAATATACGATCGGTTTTGTTGATGGTCTGGTCTACCCGTCTACACCCGCAATGCGGTGCCTGCAGGAGCTCTTGGAGATCCCAAAGCCAGATGCCCCAGCTAAGATGAACATCCTTGTCTTTGCAGATATGCTGGGCTATAGCAAGAATCTCCTCGCCAATGCTCCAGAGGGCCGAATTAGCATGAAGAAAGTGGTGGAGAACTACCACAGCCTCACTCAAGAGGATGTGAAGCGATTGGTTACGGAACCCAAGAAGGGCTGGGATTTGGTGATCTTTGCGGTGGGATGCGATCCTCCCAGAAGTAATAGCATCGAGGATATCATCGAGCAGAACACTGTGATTTCCAGATTGTCCCTTGCTTGCAAAACAACCTTGCTTTCTATTTTGCCGGGCCAAGACTAGGTACTTATTTTTGGGAGCTGCCCAGTTTGGACGACATATATATAATAAATAAAGATATATATTTGTATTTATGTATTATATAATATTTGTATATACTGTAATATATAATATAGGTACTTTTGGCACTCTTTTCCCCTAAGACTCAATTGGACATTTCTGCTTGGGAGTCAACGACTCAGCTCAAGTCTGCTCAAATCCGAGGTACTTTTGGTTGTCCTACGAGATTCAACGGGCTGAAGGAAGCGCCCGCAAGATTTTCTGCCTCGTGCGGGGGCTCTTCCACGAGGACAAGAGGACCCACATGAAGGTGGCTGGTGGTTTGGAGGGAGCAGCCAGAGTTTGTTTTCGCCTCCACACTGGAAGCACAGGTGGAATATTTTAAGGCTTCTACAACTGATGTGGTGAGTTTGCAGAGCAACTCGCCCGTAGGATCTCATTAGGCATGTTCGTGTATCCAAGACCTTTGCAGGATATCATGCGAAATGCATGCCAATGCCACATTTCGTGCTACGAGGCTTCACCACACAGCCCACTGGGGCCCTCATCTAGTGAACCAGATTCACCTCTTTCAGGATACGCCCGGATTACCCTGTTCTCCCCCCCAATCACTCGAAGCCGACCGGTCGAAAACAAATGCCCGTGCAGAGCGCGCGCTCTGCCAGGCGGGCCTCGGGATCACGGTTTGCGGCACCTTGTTTGGCATGACCAACACCCTTCGCCAGGCGAGGAGGTGTTCCGAAGTTTCTCGCCGTTTGGGAGGGGGAGACTCTCCGGTCTTAGCCCGAGACGGGCGTCTCGAACGAACGAGGTGTCCGTTCTTTCGCGAGGGCGGAGAAGCGAAACGACTTGGTGCTCAGTGGGTTGCTCGGAAATAGCATGCTGATTCCATTTCTTGGTGTTGTGAAACACCCTTTAAACCGGTCATCGCGTCCGCCATCGAATGAAACTAACCCCCCTCTGCCCTTGAGTGAAACCAACTCCCCTCCCCCAAAAAAAGAGCTGCAGAGCCGGCTTTTGTGAGGAGCTGGAAGGTGTGGATTTGCACTTCTGTGACACAGAGCATCTTGACCGTGGGATGCCGTGGGATGCAGACCTCGGTCACCGATGGTCGGTCACAAATTGTGGACCGTCCCAGCTCTCTCTAGACCGGGAAGGATGTCTTTTCTTCTTTTTTGGTTCGATCGGTTGTTTTACAGTGAACAGGACAGTCGCTTGCTCAATGCATCGGTTGTTAGGACAGCAGAGGCCGATCCCAAGAATGGATGCCATTCTCTGCAGGGGTATGCAGAAACGAGACTCAAAGAAGAAACGCACCCAGCCCCAGAGAGCCACCAACCCCAGCCCCAGACATAGCGAATCTGCCTAAGGTACTTCATGGAGGAGGACAGCCCGCTTTGGGCCTCTGTGGCGGCGGAAGCCTTTCGGGACACCACCTTTGGCATGATTGACGTGCGAATCCTGGAATCAGGGAGGCACGGAACCCAGGGAACTGTCGATGTCGATGCCATTCAAGTTCTGACGTCAAGTCTCGATGGCTTTGGCATATGTCCAAGGTATGTGCAGAAGCGAGTCTCGTCAAAGGTGTATCAGGCAGCCAACAAGGAGCACAGCTTTCTGCAGCCGAATGTATCATTTTTGAATGTCAAATCCATATTTGTATATATATATATATACGCATGTATATCCAACCCCTTTATTACATTGCTGAGCGTCTTGTGCTGCCAGGAGTTTCCACTGCCTAACAGTGGCGTCATCTGTATTTCAGGAGGAAATGGTGCCCTGGGTTTGGTCATGGGTAACTGGCTCTTGGACAAGGCCAGATCTGGGTGGAAGTTGACAGTTGTTGAGCCTCTATGGTTTGTGGATTTGGACTTCACGCGAGGCTGCCGAGCAAGGGAAATCGGGCTTCCAAATCCAATTTCTCTCCAGATCAATGAAGATCTCAGAGCCCAAGATGCAGCATGAGTCCCTCATGGTCCCTCAAGGTTCTCATAAGCCAACACGCTTTTCAACACCCTCAGGTTCAGAACGCCTTCTCCTTTTCATCTCTTTTCTGCTGCCAACAACATTTTGAGGTCTGGATTTCTGGAATTCTTTTGAAGATCTGCAAGATCTGAGGACTTGAACATGCCTTTGTGGAAGGATATTGAAGCAAAAGCTGCCAAGTTGGGCGTGCGAGTGGAGCAAGGAGCGAAGCACTTTACCAGATCATCCACTGTAAGCTTTTCAAGTATAGACCTGAGAATAACATACGGAAAACATTTACACCGTGGGACCTAATGCAGAGCGGACAATGTGAGAGTTTAAATTGCCAAGCCTCCTCATATTGCTCGGAGGAAAGATGGACATGTCCTCCAAGGAGGGCTGCTGCAACTTCATTGAGAAGCTCAATGGAGAGTTGTGCCTCACAGACCAAGATAGTATCAGTCTTTGGCAGGGCTTTTCGGAAGCCATTGATTGAACCAGTCTGAGATTTGCTCGTGCCCATTCCTTCCATAGAAGCGCACACTTATAAACTTGAACTTGTCTTGAACATGTCTTGAGTCTTCGCTTCTGAAGGTACGGCTTCATTCACTCTGCTGGCGTCTTGCAAGATTCCATGCTCATGAACCTCACTTGGGAGAAGTTTGAGACCGTTTATCAGTTTCTGAGCCATCATGTGCTTTTGTTCTTCCTTTTGTTTCTTGGGGGACAGCTCAAACTGCACACTGGAAAAGTTTGGACCCCTGACCCCTGGTCACCAGAGGGCAACCCACCACCCAAACGTTTGCAGGACAGCCTGTTTGAAAAGTGATTTGTTGGGCTTCGGAGGTGGCTGTAAGCCAATGTTGTTTTCGCCGAAGTCTCCTTGGCCCTTCGCACAAGGTCCAAGCACCATGCAGCTCTGTTCCTGCACTACGCCCTAGAGAACAATCCCCAGAAGAACTTTCAGTTCATGTGGAACTTCTCTTCCACCTCCGTCTATGGCAACATGGGTCAGCTCAACTATTCGGGCTCCAACTCTTTCCTGGATGTCCTCACACGTCACCGAAAGGTCGGGGCACGTCGATGCAAGTCTGGTGAGACGAAGTCTGAGACATGTGAAGCTTAGATAATGCAAAGGACAAACCCGGAAGTGCTGCGAACGCATATACACACCTTGGCCTCTCAATTTAACCATTTGCCAGTGCGACTTTCCTAGTGCCAGCTTCGCAAATTTAGAGAGCCTTTGTTTTTGGACATCCTTTGTGCTCAGTCGCATCACACGCATTGCAGGCGAAAGGCAAGCCGTCACTGGCAATTCAGTGGGGAGCCTGGGGTGATGTTGGCATGGCTGCGACCATGACAGATGCAATGAGATTGAGGAGCTGCAACTGCAGCACCTAAAAACATCTATAGACATCCTGAAAGCGCTGAACGCCGGTTTTCTGGCTTGTTCATGTTTGTATTGCCGTTTCCATGTCACAACTCTCCAGAGATGTGCCCCATTCGGGTGAGTTGCTGCTTCCAGGACCATGAACTCGCCCATGCCTTACTTCTCCAACAAGGAAGGTCTGCAGCGTGTCTGAAGCTAATATTGTTGTCTATTCTCCACAACCTTGATCGCCTATAACACATTTCCCGTGCTGGTTTTAGCACTGTTATCGGGGTTCCTGTGAGGCACTTCCGCAGTAATCACGGTAAAGTAAAGTCGTGTGTTTTTCTTCGTTTTGCTTGGGCCCCTCTGCTAGAAAGCGATAAAACGTCAAAAGCAACCTTCTTACCGAAATCCGGGAACTACACCGAAAAGCGTTGAACAAACATATGTGATTATGTTATGTTAACATTTGCGATACAAAAGGGAAGAACTCGACTTATGTATTTAACGTGCCTTTGCCCGGGTCCCTCAGCTGGATCTATTTTTACCAAGGGCCCTGCAAAAACGGTAACAATTGTGTGTTTTCTACTTCTACTGTATTTTTTCCGATCCAATTGACACCAACCTTCGTGGTACAAACGAAGCACATTTTTCATTACTGTTTTCTTTGTGGGGGTGTCCGCTTGCAAGCGGGTACCCGCCAGTAATTAAAACAAGGCTCGTGAACCGGCTTGGCATATGTCCTTTTTAACTGCGGGCTGATCCCTGTTCTAATGAATGCTGAACATCTTGCAAACCGTACCAAACCTTCAAACTGAACATGCTGAACATCTGGTCTTTTGAAACTCACATGCTTAGTACCAGACCTTCACCTTCTGGTTCCTTTTCCTCGCCCACCTTCTCCGCATGCTGTTTCACCAGGTACGGCCTGGAGTGCGGGCTGGCGACGGGCCTCGCGTACTTCAGCGTCTTCAAGTTCAACCCGCCCGTGATGATGGGATCCGTTCAGTATGCCGATGTGGTACCTTCCTGCCACCATCGGAACCACTACAGCGAGGCGAGGCGAGCGAGGTTAGCATCGGAACCACCAACCTACCGGGGCGTTCGTGACCCCGGTATGTGGGGACCTGTAGTTTGGGGGGGACCTGTGGGGGATGGGCCTAAAGGCTTGCCTTTTGTTTGGTATTTTCCCAACACATTTGGCTTTTTGGCTCTGAAGTATGCGGAAACTGATGCTTTTTATGCTTGGTGAGAACAGTGACGAACCCATTCAACTTCAGACTCCAAGGATATTGAATCCGCCGAGGTGCCTTGCTCAGCGGATTTGGGATTCATTAGGCTGACCTGATTTGGCAGGTTTGTCCAACGCCTCCAGCACCAACCTTGGAACGAAAGCACTACTACACCATCTACAGGACACGGTTCATTTCACATGAAGGCATCAGGCAGGTGTTTGTCTTTTTGTCCATTCGTACGGTCAGAAACAGCTTGTGCGCTTGATTTGTGCATTCTTAGAGACCAAACCTATAGAACAACGCACCCTCACTTGCCAAGAAAGGAAGCTCTCGCAGGATGGCAAAAGGTGCCCAGACCACAGATCTGAGGGCAACTCCATTGGTGTACAATGCCTACGTCAAGGCTGAGAAAGAACACAGATACTTTGCTTGGCTCATTCACATTTCATGCTATGGTCTTTTTTCAGATGCCACTATAGAGCAACAGTTTAGCAGAGGACTGAGAATGGTTCAGTGGACAGGACGCAGCGGCAAAACACTATGCTGAGTGGGGTGACGATTTTCGCCAGTGGTAGAGACGCGGCGAGCGTTGAAGTGCACGGCTTCCCATCATGACCAAAAAAGGACCGGGGAGATCTTGTTACTAGTAGAAATGCCACACAGTAATGCCCTTGTTACTAGTAGCGATGCGAACAGAGCCTTCGAAGAGCCTGCTGCCTGCTCAATTGCAGTGAAGTCGACCTTAACCCATACAATTAAGGGAGTAGCACAGCCACAGACTGTTTTCGGTGGCATTTTTTTTTTGGGTTATGGCGGTGGAACGGCGTACAAATCACGAAAGGTAGCTTGAGCTACCTGAGTTCTCCTTGCTTTAGCAAAAATGTATTACAATCAGGAGTTGGGATTGTGCATTGAGTTTGGTCCTGTAAGAGTTGATTCTGTTCGTCGGGGGGGGGCCCCCCCTGGATCAAATCCCCCCTGCGCCGGTTCACGCCGTCATGGACTTTTACCAGGGTTGCTTGTGATTGCCTGCTACCTTTCGTTCACCCCCTCCTGTCTCAAGTAGCGATGAGCAGGTGCTGAAGTCCTGTGAACTGTCCCTGGTGAAGACTCCGTCCCTTTCCTGGGGCAAAATCGAAGGCTTGATTGGACTGGCGGGTCTTTGGTCGGACTGGGCGGGTGCTGGCTGCTATCTGTGTTTCATCGACCAGTGGCCTTTGTTGAGCAGTTTTGAATGTGTTCTTGCCCTTTCAAACCTTTCGTGGATCACTGCCGTGCTAGTCAGGTCAAAGCCTTGCATTGTGACCCTTTCCGGTGGTCTTTCTTCTTTGCTGTTGCTGCTGGTGAACTGTGTCCTCCCCAGAACCTCTAGTGATAAACTTCCGCTGCGGTGCATGTAGCGGCCAAGAGATGTAAAGAGAGAACATCTCAACAAGTTAACAAGGAATGAAGAAGCTCTTTGTGTAGGTCTACATTTCATTCATTGACTGTAATTAATTGATATCTTCCAAGTAATGTGCAGCTACTGGGCAAACAATCACTGATAGCCACCTGATAGCCAAGGCTTCACTGCTAAGTCGCTTGGACGAAGATGAGGAACATGTTGAATATTCTCAAGCCATTCTGGTGCTGGGGAAGTTGCTCTTGCAGAGCTTTTCTTTGATCCTACACACGACCCTTCAAGGCAAAAGCCCTAAGAAGCTGCGCATCTATGACCCGTTCTTTTGTGCGGGTAGTGTGGTGAAGCACCTTGCTGAGCTGGGCTTCCCCAAAGTTTACAACAAGTGCGAGGAGACAACTGGCATTCAGGGCACGAGGGTTTTGGGTTTTCTTCTATTCCTGTCCTCGACCACTTTTTGCTCGGACAAGAAAGCGAGTCCTCAAGAACATTTTGCTCGGACAAGAAAGCGAGTTCGAGAAGCTCAGACATACTATCTATCATTATCTATATATAAGATTATATAAGCTACTAAGCCTTTTTCTTGAGACACTTGCACTGGCTGCATTTCCGTTGCCCACTTAGTCTTGAAGCTGACTTGGACACCTTGCTGTTTGAATGGTAAGCCCAAGCCCTCAGAGGCTTTGCAAAGAGATGAAAGTGCATTTGTCAAACAAATACATGTAAAGACCTTAAGTTCTCAACTTCTGAAACTTCAGAGATGGTCGAGTCCTGTCGACCAGGTTTCTCAGTCCTGTCGACCAGGTCAGATCGTTCACCCCACGTGGAATATGGTTCCATTTGATGCATCCATGGCATGGGGGGGTGCCGACTGAGTGCGCCATGGCTCTTGCTCCTGGTGCCTTTACCATAAACAAGTGGACTCAGTGGAAATTGGTCACGAGCGGAAAGAAAGGACGACTTCATGTTGACGAAGTTGCGAGCCATGTCAGAAGAAATAGAAACCTCTTAGACCTCCTATATTGACTCGTCCAGTCCAACCTATGTAGATGACTTAGGATATCTGAGGCTCTCCGCAGTTTTGACCCTTTGATTATGGATGACTTTGATCCAAACTGTCTTTTTCCACTATGCACTCAGGCTCTGGCTTTGGGACACCTCCATTGCTTTGTGACAAAGGTGTGGCTTGCGAAGGACAGCACTTCAGAGCTCGATGGACGTCGAGTCACTCGCAGTTAGCAGGGTCAGCATGTGCTCCTCTCGAGGGCAGTGGACCATTTTGATAGTTAGTAGTTAATAGTTGGTCATGAGTCATGAGTTGTCGCGTATGGTCAAGTAATAGACATTTGGAGAACTTCCGCTGACAATGACATGATCCCCTTGGGCTCTTCTCGGCACTGACGTTCCCCGTAACTCTTGTGCTGTGGAGGACCTCAGGAAATCGGTGAAAAGGAGGCATCCGTGGCTCTTCGACAGAGCCTTGCGGGGAACGCCAGAGAAGCTTGGCCACACTTGGAATTCCCACATGAGTACCCGGCAGAAATTACCAGAAGTAAGTAGTAGTCTTCGGCTGTACATCATGTCATGACAGTTCTCATTCGTTGGCCACAAAGGCAGAGAATCCTGCTTCAATTCGATATTAATGAAGGATTCTGAGTTCAGTCCATTTCTTGCTCGGGCCACTAGATACCAAGCTTTGACAACGGCTCCTGGGCACTGCAAATAAGGATACCAGCCGGAAGCCTTGTGGATGTCTTCTGGAAGAAAGAGCTCTTGGCATCCGGATTCTACGACCCCCACTCACCCTTGCGTGTATCTTGGCAAGATGTAGGATACCCTACGACCCCATGGGTGTAGACAGTTATGCCCGGGATACCCTTCTAAGCGACACCTCTCATGTATCTCACAATATCATCCAGTATCTGATCCAGATATCACGCCAAATGTTTCTCAACCCGATGTGTGACATGATGCTGGGTGAGAGAGAGAGAGAGAGAGAGATGGGTCAACAACATGATCCTGAAGAGCTATTCGTTTCACCGCGCGAAAGACAGCTGTATAGATTCATGACCGAACCAGGTTCGCCTGCTGTGGTGGCCAGGAGATCAACTGAGACCAGGCCAAATTTGGTGTGTCATTGAACTAGAATCATTGGACTTGGAGAAAGTCTAAGTGGCATGAGAGCAAATAATACTGTAGTTGCTCCTGAGTGACCCCCTTCATTGCTCGGCCTTACACGGATTCTTTTTCAGCTCCACAAATTGTACGTTGTTCATCAAGAGCGATGCCTCTCTCTCTCTCTCTCTCCCGCTCTCCCTCCCCCCCCCCCCCCCCCCCCCCCCCCCCCTTCCTTGTCTCTTCGCAAATAGGGCTGCATATTGAGCTCAACACGGTGTAAATTCAAATTTAGACGCAGAGATTTATATATATATATATACACCCCTTCTGTCTGTTGCTATTTCCAGAGGTTTAATTCCAGGGGTTTAATTTTGAATAATCAATATAGGCGGCGTTCTCTATCTGCACAGGGCTTTAGTGAAATTTGATCATCCCCTTTGGAAGGATGCACAGAAGTTTGTGTCTAATTTTCAACCACTTCCTTGGCGGTTAAAACTCTGGTGGTGCATTCGAATCCCAGTTTTGTCGTCCTTCTTGATTGCAACCTGGTAGGAGATTCCAATAAGTATACATAAATGCAACAATTCTTCTTTGTGATTCAGTTGCGGTATTTTGGGGGTGCTTTGCTTCTTGGCTATCAGATGTTGGAAAAACAATTGGCCAAAGAGGCCATTCATGAGGAGCAACAGCTTCTAGCAAAAAAAACATATATTATATATATACACGTATGTAGACACATGTGTTCTGCGCGAATCTGTTGAGTGAAAGGAGTAGGCACAGCGTGAAACAGAGCCAGGTGCAGAATAGGGTTTAGTTATGTTTAAACTCGATTTCAAGCCTTTAGACTTCAGGTTCAATTCCCAGCCCTTTTTCGATTCACTTCTCAGCTTCATGGTGTCTCTACCCCTCATGATGCACGCCTACAAGAAGCACTTAGACCCCGCCAAGCATATTCCTAAAAACGCCACTTGGCCCGTCCGAAGAACGCCTCCTTGGACCTGTTCAGAAGCTACCAGGGGCTGGCATCGCTACTAGGAGCAAGGACGCTACTAGGGGCTCCTGGCCGTACTACTAGGAACAAGAAGCTACTAGTAACAAGTGCATCGCTACTAGTAACAAGAAGCTACTAGGGGCTCCTGGCATTGTTACCATCTCCGATGCCGGGTGACGGTCCCATCGCCAGATGTCAGCGCTTGGGCACCCAGCCTGGTGCGCCACGCGGCCGCAGAGCGACAAGAACTCGAACAGAAACGCTGTACTGGGCTACGGCTGCTGCATGGAGCCCGCGCCTCAAGTGGATCGGGACTCGGTGAGGTTTCGAGGCCCGACAGCTGTTGCATCTCGAAGTCAAAAAGCAAGGGACCGAATTTCACCACCGTTTCCAACGCTGCATGACCGATACTGGTGCGGTGACGCGGTGACGCGGCCGTTCGCCGTCCGACCGTTCGCCGTCGCGACGAACGGCCCTGAGGAAGCCGACGGGACCCCCGGCCTCATCCTGGACGTCTATGGCTCGCTGGGCGTGTGCGGCTTCGATGGCCGAGGGGCCGAGGCCTTTTGGCGCCCCAGGCGAGAAAGACAGAGGTAGTGTTAGCGGTTCATTGCAAGGGACATATTAGATGCCTGTAGTGGTTGGTCAGTGGCATTTTGACATGCCATGGGAGTTTTCTTAGGAGTTTCCTGGATGTGTTTTCTGCCCGAAACATGATCAGGATCAGGACATGTCAGTAGAAGCCCGCAACACCAGTGGAGTTTCAGCTTGTTTGTACCTGTTTGTTGGAGTGCTTTTGGAATCAGGTAGACTGCCAAACATGCAAGCGAATTCATCGTTCTGGCCAAGCCTCGATGCTTTCAGAAGGCTCACCAGCATCATTGATGCCTTCGCAGATTCTGGAGCGGCCACGGGCGGAGGGCCACATTGAGCAGGAAGAACTCGTTGAGGGACAAGATGAATAGTGGAAAGACGGATACAAAGGGTATAAGAAGGGTGTAGAGGGTTGCATCGGGTTGCGTCTCAACTTTTCTCCTTTAGATTTTTCCTCACTTTATATTTTTCAGATCTTCACACAAGCTTCCTTGGAGAACCCCATGAGGTCACGGAGTTGGTAGGCATTTTCCCCATGCGTCTGGGGCAAAAAAGGTTTAAGACTCCAGTTAGTCATTGGGCACGTCACAAAGAGTGGCGCTTTGCCAGGATACGCTCTGAGTGGAGTGACTCTTGGATGCAATCCGCATTCACACACAAGATGGAAGCAGGTGTTTTGGACTTGCCTCCACTGGTGAACGGTGACCTAGGCCAGGCCTAGTAGGCTTTTGATGTGCCTATATAAGCCTTGGCAATTTGATCAGCCATTTTCATCTCAGGATTCGCAAAGACAGCGAGGAGACACTTTGGGGTGAGGTTCCCCCGAACAGATCCGTCTTCGAGGAGAATGGAGTACTCTATGAGGCAGCTGACATGAATATTCATACCTTTGGCGTAGACAAAGCGGAAAGAAAGAGAAAGACATCTTTGAGGAAGACAACTTGAGAAAGTTGAGGAGGACTCTTCCAAAGACTTCAAAAGGCTACCTGGAATCTAGGAAGTAGTGGGACTATGTGGGACTTTTGAATCTTTTCGTTTGCGTAGTTGGACTGTATGTTGTCAGTCCGGAGCAGAGTTCGGTCTGCAGGTCGATGTGTGGCATGGTCACAAGACGGGCTTCTTTCTGGATCAGCGTCCAAACCGGTCTCTCGGTGACGGTGGCAGTGGTGTGTTTGGGTTTGTGTGAGGAGCAGAGCGATTTCAAGGAAAAGATGGAGATGCCCAATGAGCAAGTTCTGGCAAAGAGAGTTGGAGCGTGTTTGTTTCACGCCTTTGACTCTAACAAATCACCAAGACATTTTTCTACAAGCAGTACCCGGGCAAGCCGGCGGCGGAAGTTTCCTATAAAAACAATTTGACCTATAGTAATAGGAGTGTCCCTTCGCACATGCCCTGCGGACCCCCTTTCTTCCCGGCCCGCAACGATGGCGTCATGCAAGCAGCCCACAACGGCGTAGTCGCTCTGGCACTGTGTATGCGGGTCACACCACCGCACGTCGGAGTGAATGCAGTTACACAGGACTCCGAACTTGCGTGTACAACCTGTCATACATGCGCAACCAGAGTCTTAACAATGAATGCAACCAAAGACTGTAAGTATGAACTGCGCCAAAAACTTAAACCGTAAGTACAAACTGACCTGTTAACAAAGCAAATCATCTGCAGCCAGTGTTGTTTTCGACGTAAAGCAACCAAACAGCCGCGGAATGTAGAAGGCTCCTCTGGAAGGAAACTCACTATCTGACAGCCAGGTCCACAACTTGCACTCGGAATGTTACTTGCACACTCGGAATGTACGAGACATCCTTCCAAACCGCTTTAGCTAACTGGAGCTAAAGCTGACTAGAGCTAGAGCGACCTAGA